TATTCAGCATGTCTCTATTGAAATAAACCTACGTTTCTATGAAAATTGAAGCTTTTGTTTTTTTGCAGCCCACATAAACTTAAACCTTGTTTATTTGGCCCGTTAGCCTTTGAGTTTGACATGCTTGGGTTACTCTGTTCTTTTTCCAGATAAGGCGCAGGGAGGTTATGTGACTTGCCCAAGGCCAGGGCTGGTAAATGGGTTTCGATTGCAAAGCCTGAGCATTCCTGCCACTAAATTAATCCACAGCCCAGTGGGTCGGTCACATGGGAGAGCAGGCCCTGGCAGGCAGGTATGGGGCGCCCCTGCCCATGCATCTCTTACAGCCCCCACAACTTTACCTGTGTTAAAACTGTGTTTCAGGCATGTGGGCGGCCATCAGGAGCCAGCTACTGCCCCTCCTCTCTTTGGGGGTGGATTTCCCATCTCTGGTGGCTGGTGGGGGAGGGGGGAGACCACCTCTCAACCTTCCTGGGCTCAGAGCAGGCAGTGAAGTGTCGTTGGCATGAAAACCCACGGCCCTTCCCCGGGTCCAACCAGGTCTTCGTCAGGCCTCCTCAGAGCCAGGGGCCCAGCTCAGAGGGTGAGCAAGAGCAGAAGTGCACTTGGCAAAACAAAACACTCCCTGGCCCAGGACGAAGCCTCAGGCCGGGCAGTGGCCATGGCAGGTGGCACCCCGTACCCTAGAGTTGTGACCCTTTGGAGACGGGACCTGGTGAAAGAGTGGCTCTGAGTCCTTTGTTGCCATTCTCCAGTCTCTGAACAGCAAGGGGAGTCCCAGGAGGCCCAGCCCACAGCTCCGATACTTGGCATTGCCCAGTCTTGAGTAGGGGACAGAGAGGATGCGGCCAGACCTTGGTTGGGGAGGAATGAGTTCTGCCGGTCACAACGCCACTAGAATAAAATTAACCCCTGGCTGGAGGTGCGAGCCACCGGGATCGGTCCAGGCTCTGGAGCCAGCACTATCAGTTACAGACAGCCGTTCGTAATTAACTCAGTCCTGGATTAACTCAGTCCAGCGTTCATAAGCCTGGCCCTTCCAGAGTCCCCCAAAATAATTCCTTTTATTCTGGAATCACATACTTTTTAAAGGAAAAATAGTCCCTAAAAACAAAATGGCAAGTAAAAGCCTTGTGCTGGTTTCAGGCTAGAATTTAAAGTAGAAACAGATTTTTTTCCAAACTTGCAGAGCCTCAGACTCTCTCCCCTGAGTTTCTCGACTTTGTGAAAACATGGATCCTCAACTCATTTCTTCTCTCTTGCCCGCCCAGTCTCCTAAAAGACAAACCAGCTTATAACATCACCCGTAAGCCTCCCACCTGATCTCATGATAAAGACAAGTCACAATGCCAATATCAGGTTCCTTTGAAAGAAAAATGTCCACTTTTTAAAATGCTGTACTCAGGGAGACGTTGGTGGAGGAAGAGGAATCCGGAGCTGAGCCTGGACAGGCCGCATCTGCTCTGACTTGGGTCAGGCCCCATGTCCCCTGCGGGCCATGGACCCACAGGTAGCACTTGCTGCTGTCCCCAGTGGGCTAATGACTCCCCCTCCCCCCATTCTTCCTGCACCAACAGTGACAGGGCTCCTTGGCTTGGCCACGACCGTTGGAGCTGCTGTCCCTCAGACGCATAAGACATTGTAAAAATACCGACAGTAATTAATTGCCATGAGTCACCTTCCCATATAACCTAAGCTGTCCCACTTAATCCTCACATAACCTATGACGAAGGTATTGTCATCCGGACGTAAGGCTCAGAGAGGGGAAGCGGGTTTCTGACCAGTGAGTGGTAGAGAACTAGGAGTGTCATGCTCCAGAGCCCCTAAAGCGGAGCGCCCATCCTTGGGTGATGGGCCCACAAGGGAGCCTTTGGTAAACGCCTGTCGAGCGAGCTCTTTGCTCATAAGCTGTGCATACTGGGTTGCCTACCTACCTTGTGGAGTATTAGCTACTTCCTATATCTGGTCAGTGTCTGCTTTCATTTAACACTGACCCTTGTAGAGACACACCCAAAAGGAGGACATCACACAGGCTGCACCTGACCTTCCTCATCCTGTTTACTCTATAGCAGGGCAGTGGCCCCCCAGACCACACCGCTACATGGCTTATGGGCTTAAGGCACTTATTAGCGAAACTTAAGTCTGCCAAGATGCAGTTCCACTTTGTGAAAGTCTGCCTCTTTTCGGAAAACATGTTGAAAAACCACTGTTCATTGGGACCCTTGAAATATTTGCATGTCCTGTAACCTCAGGTGGCCGGGACAGTGCTTATCAAGAACTTAGGCGTTGGAGCAGGTTGCTTGGGTTCCAATCCCTGGCCTGATGCTCACTCGGCTGTGTAGCACTGTGTCAGCTACTTAACCTGTCTGTGTATCGGGTCCCTCACCTGTAAAACTGTAATAATAGCCTGGCCGGTGTGCTCAGTGGTTGAGCATCGACCTATAAACCAGGAGGGCATGGTTCGATTTCTGGTCAGGGCATATGTGTGGGGCGTGTAGGAGGCAGCTGATCGATGTTTCTCTCTCATCATTGATGTTTCTTTCTCTCACTCCTTCTCCCTTCCTCTCTGAAATCAATAAAAACATTTTTTTTAAATGAGCTGTTTGAAAACTCAATGTAAATGAAATTTCAACTGAAAAAAATATGTTTGCTTGGGTTTTTGGAGGAGAACAATTCAAGGCAGCAGACTTCTCGCATTTTGTCTCATGACCCCCAGCCAGAGGGTGCTGCCATGTATAGCAACTCCCCACTTCCCACGCCTGGTGGCTGCGATCACGTAGAGTGAACTCATCTTCCTCCTTAAAAGCAATGTCCCAAACACTCACAATCCTCTTTAATGCATACATTTCACGTGGAGGGCAAAGTAGGTCCTATTTGTGCCAACAGGACTTGACCCCATCTAACCTCAGAGAGCAGGTTATGGTCAGAGGTGCCCCAACCTGTGCCAGGTACTGTACAGGACAGAGGCACGTTGTGGATTCTGCCATTCACAAAAACTTACTGAAGCGCTCATGGAGATGAGGGCAAACATGAAAGGGCGTGTGGACTGTGAGCATACAGCATCCGTCAGACACAAATGAAGGAAGCAAAGTGTAAGCGTATGGACCAGCTGCGTGCACCTGAAACAAGCCATGCTTTTGTTTTGAAAGCCATGCTCTCCAGCAGGTGCCTGGGGGTGGGCATGGCTGCTGGAATGCTACTGAGTACTGTTAAACACCAAGCCCATGGGATCTTCCTGAAAACAGACAGGCAACATTTGGATGTCACAGCTGTGTAGACTCAGAAAGACACTTCACTGTTTTCAACACGCGGTGACACTTTATCTTATCTATGGTGCTTTAGCTCTGCCACTAGCTATTTAGGAACCGGTCACAAAGTAGATGGCATTCTTGTACCATGACCACAGAACTAAATCGAGCGTGCTCACAGCAGACCCATGGAGTGGTGAGGTGAGCTCATAAGTGAGATTTCATTGACTTAACAGTCACTCTCAGGTTTTAATTTTGCAGCGACATACTAATAACACAGGGTTTCAAAGAGCAAATCACGTGTAGAAAAATAGTGCTACATATTTATACGTTTATCTGAAATTCATATAAAAACATGTTGGTCCTAAATCAACCTGTTGTTTAAAGAATATTTCAATCAACTTTGCTTCCCCATCCCCCAAATTCAACCAATTTTATAGCATTTTCTTAGGACATACTTATATATAAGCAACAATCCAAGCTAAATCATATTTTGGTAGCTGGCGTTTCAACCCTAGTTCAGTGGAATTTAGAAGTAATCCCCAAACAATATTACCTTCATTTGTCCAAATTTCAAAACTGGCATCTTACTTTATATTCTTTTGAAATAAATTCAGAAGAAAGCTTAATGCAGTGAAAAGTTGAGCCCTCACCAGGAACAGCCCCAAAGTCAGATTTAATTGAATTTAATTCCAGAGACAGAGCTCAGCTTAGTAAACACTTTACAAATGAAAAGTCACTGTGTAAGACACCGACTCTGCAGATAAGCAGAGTAAAAGAGTATTGCCATCCAAAAAGACTGCACGAGCAACATGAGCTGTGGCACGTCCGATTTGCGGAGGGACACTGGTGTATGTTAAATGGCCACTTTAGCAGTGGCACTGGGTGACACCATAGCTGAAACGCCACATCGCTTCAAAGCCCCAGTGCTTACCACAAGAGCTCGGGTTCACGGACACACTGAGGGGCAGGGGCCGAGCCTTACCTGTGGTGAGGGCCCTGGCCGTCGCCAGGTGCATGATGGTGTTGTCACTCACAGGCCACTTCTCCGGTGAGAGCACCAGGTGGTCCAGCCCCCCGACTTTCTGCAGGTCCTCCTGGATCTTCGTGCCTGAAGCACTGTTCTCCTTTCGGGTGTTTCTGTAACCGAGAGCGTCCCCGACACTGCCCAGCAGCATCGCAGCCTGAAATTTCTCCATTGCGGAGCGGCTCCTCTGTCCGCCCAGCTGCTGAGCACGTCCAGCCTCTGTTGCTTTGCGGCAGCGGCAGCCCTCAGTCCACCCCGCTGACCTCCGTTCTGGTCATTGTGTCACTGTCAAGAGCCTCCTCAAATGGCCAAGCACTGCTTTCCTGTCTGCAGGTGGCACCAATGAGAAAACCTTCCTGGACCCCGCAGCTCACAGCGCCTTCTGAAGAGCCACGTGGAAGTGTCAGCTTCCTTCAGCGTCTGGACAGACACTAGCTCCTCAACAGAGGAGCCTGCGGCTTACCCAGAGCATCTAGGCAGCGTCCAGGGCAACTCCCGACGCTCTCTCAAACGCAATGGCTTTCCAGTGTGAGTCTTTGCACAGCATCCTTGGAGAAATGCACTCATTTCTAAATGCTTTAAAGTGTAATTTACACACCGGGGAATTCTCTCATGTCCCGTGCACAGTCTGATGGCTTGTGCAAAGGGACACTGCTGTGCATCACACCACAGACCCGCTTTAGAACACTTCTGTCACCCCCAAGTCCCCATTGCCCATCCGTTCCCTGTTCCCCCCATCGCACCCCCAGGCAACCACTTTCCTGCTTTCTGTCTCTATAGTTTTGCTTTTTCCAGAATTTTAAAGAGTTATGCATAGGTAGCCTTTTGTGTCTGGTTTCTTTTACTTAGCATAATGGTGAGATTCATCCATCATGGTTCCATTTGGGGGAAAACTTTTTGGATTATAAAACGTGTTTCTGATAGAACACTGAAAAATGCGGAGGGTAAAGAACAAAGCATACCTGGCCCCAGGGGGAAAGATTACGAAGTGTTCTCACAATTCAATGTTCAACAAAAGGCTCCAAATACCCAGGCTTCAGGTGGCAATGCATGTGAGCACAGAGCAGAGCCTCAGCGTGGCATCTGTGACGGTGCCATCCATCGGCATCGGGTGCTTAAATAAACACCCTGTC